CGCCATGCGGACCAGGTGTCTATCATCGCGAGCTGACGTCACATTTCGGGGTCCACTGCCGGATTTCCGAGTTGTCCGACACTCGTTCGTCCACACTGCTTCAAACGCGCATCACTGTGCTGCTGTTATGCGCACACGAGAGGCTACGCACGATACGACAATCCAGCTTCACGAAGGCCGATGATTCTCCCTCGTTCAAAACTCTGTAAGTTGTTCAAATCTCGCTCTCTTTCGTCGACGAGGCATAATAATATTGATTAACGTTTACCACTAGCAGATAACCACCGATAACCATACACGCCTCGCTACAGCCGTCTATTTATTCGGATCCATCAGCCGTTCAGAGGGCGCTGCTCAGTATACGCATGCGCTACGGATTTGCAATTCTAATCATTTGCATATCATGCGCTACTTTGCATTTCCTGAAAATTTCAGCTCACTCGCATAAGTCCTTCATGGTGTTGCAATTTTCACAAACGTGAGTGTATATTTGGGTTAAAAAACAGTTTTAATAGGTATCCAGATATGTTTCTTTACTTGAAGCCCATAACAGTTTTGCAACAACCAACATAGCATTTAGTTGTATGTATAAATCATAACATATTGTTGCAGATGAACAAGCATTTGTTACTAATACTTAAGTATTGCATGGATATACCGGGTGGCCATAATTAAACTGACAGTGCTCACAGTGTTCTGTAGCGCGATCTATTTGCGAGAATGACGCCACATTTTGTAGGAAGATTAAACAAGACGGGGGGCGAAGGATTCCGCGAAAAAAAAATTAGTTTTAAAAGTCAACGCTAGGGGAATATTTGGCGCTGTGTAATAGAAAATAGAATGTTAACAACTGTAAATTAATACGGAATAAAATTACCTTTTATTATGGATATGCCTTACAGTACGGTATGGATAATCTTAGAAAAGATTATCAACTTCTATCCGTACAAGATCAGCCATGTACAGGAGTTACTGTACCTCGACCATGATAAGCGATTGACTTTTGCTCTCATCTTTCTTGCCAGAATGGAGGTGGATGATCTTGTGGGGAGACGAGGCCCACTTTTATCTGAATGGAACTGTGAATACCCAGAACTGCCGAACTTGGGATGACAAATCACCACATGCAATCGCAGCAATTCCCTTACGTTCACCAAAGGTAATTGTTTGGTGTGGGTTCACAGCGGAATTTATGGTAGGTCCATTCTTTCTATGAGAACATTACCCCGACAGGACCGGAAACCTGTTCTGTTACCGGAGGGAAATATCGCCACATGTTGAACAGCTTTGTCATTCCGGCACTTCAGCAAAGACAATGCCCAGGAGAAATAATTTTCATGCAAGATGGAGCCCCTCCACACGTTGCTGTATGGGTGCAACAGATGCTACAACAGAAAGAGTCATTAGCCGCTACTTTCCAACTGCACGACCACCTCGGTCGCCTGATCTTACCTCATGCGACTTCTGGCTATGGGGTTACCTTAAGTCCAAGGTCTATCAAGGAGTGGTCCAGGACCTGGCTACGTTGAAGGATAACATATCACGGACTGTACAGGAGATTCCTGCAGACATGTTACTTTCTGCTTTTGTGCATACTATGCACAGAATGCAATATATGGTCCACAACAACGGCAGCCACATTGAACCTCATTTGAATGCAAAATAAAAGGTAATTTCCGTATTGATTTGCATTTGTTAACACTCTATTTTCTATTACACAGCGCCAAATATTCCCCTATCGGTGACTTTTGAAATTTTCTTTTTCGCGGAATCCTTCGTCCCCCCGACTTGTTTAATCTTCCTACAAAATGTCGCGTCATTCTCACAAATAGATCGCGCTACAGAACACTGTGAGCACTGTCAGTTTAATTATGGCCACCCGTTACATGCAAATCAAAATGAATTTAGATTTGTTGATACTATAGAAATAACATAGAAGAAAACTAAATTGTATTTGTTTCAAAGTATTTACTTTAAATAAAGTGGGACTCTTTTTTTTTTTTTTTTTTTTTTTTTTTTCTGGTACTACTCAGATTCATCTGTAGCTTGTTTTGTCAGCTGAAATATCACCAAATTTGGCAGAAAGACTGATGATGGCATGGGAAAAAATATTCCATGAAAAAAAAAAATTAGTTCCAAAAGTTCCCAATAGAAAAAAAGTGTAGCACTCTTCTAGTCTAGACAGCAGAAAATGGGCATGAAATGCAGATAAAATTTTAAAATATAAATGCTCAATGACATAAACAGCAGTATCAGTAATTCAGTCTTAAAAATGAGGGTAAAACATCAAAGGCATTCCATCTGTTAGCTGGGTTCAGTACGCGTCTTAATATACCTCAGTGCGCGTTTCTTGTGAAGTTGTTTTATCTTCATCAAAAAAAATGCATTCACTGCTCTTTCTGAGTTTAAAAGTCATAACAACCTATGTAAAGATCTTCTGTCAGTTAATGCATTGAAAGGCAGGAATCAGAAGTTTGAAAGAACAAAATCCCTTGCAGCTTGGTTTGGTAAACGGCATAAACTGGTGTCAACAGACAGTTAATGGATGTTGTGACTGCAGTGGCTGATGGCAACCATAGGACCATTGTCGATAATAGCAATGGCCATGGAATAGTGCAACAGTTGTATTTAAATCTTCCAACACTATGGTGAATCTTTCAGAAATTTCTTCATTTCTACCTATGCCTTATAAGCTGTGTGCAGGAATTAATACACAGTGGTTATGGTAAATGGGTGACATTTGCTTTGACATTTCTTGCTAGAATGGAGATCGACGATACTTGACCATGGAGAATTCTTTGAGGAGGTGAGGCCCATTTTCACCTAAATGGGACTGTTAACATGCACACTTTCTCAAACTTGGGCATCTGAATAGTTTCGGGCAATTCAGGAAATTTCACTGCATACAACGAAAGTCATTGTTTGCTGTGACTTCACAGTAGATTTCATCAGCGGACTATTCTTTGTTGAAAACATTACTGTAGCAGGACCACACACCTGTACTGTTACCATTGATGTGCTGGCTAGTTTTGTGATTCCACAACTTCAGCAGATGCAATTCCTGTATTTGGTAACTTTTACACAAGACGGAGAACCATTGCACATTGAATTGTTGGTACAACAGCTATGGTGCTATCGCATAGGTGAAAAGGTCATAAGTAACCTTTTCACTTTTTCACCTTCATTGCCACTTCGCTTCTCAGATTTAACCCCATGTAACTTACCCTATGGGGTCATTTAATAAGTTAAATGTCTATCTTTGTGAGTTCCTGACCTTGACAAGGATCAGTAAAGGACAACATAGCACAGGGTGTGCTGAGTATTCCTGGTGTCATGTTACATTTGACCATCGAAAATATTGTATAAAGTATGAAATGTGTGATCCACAAGAAGGGTAGTTACATTGTAAGAGGTCTGTGTTATCACTGAGGAAGAGGTTTTATTGAATACAGTGCTATGGTGCATTGAAATAGCATATCTCTAACTCTGTGGAAGCTCATTTGCTGCATTACAGCAATGGTCCTCTGAAATTTTTTCTTTATTATTAATTTCTCTAATTCTTAGCTGAATAGGATAGAACAGCTCTGCAATTTCCCTTATCAGCAACTTTTGAAACTAATATTTTTTCCACAGAGTCCTTTTTCCATATCATTGTTAGTCCCCTTCCATATTTGGTGCTATTCCAACTGATCTAACTAGATGACTCTGAGTATTGTCAGTAAAAAAAAAAAAAAAAAAAAAAAAAAAAACTGTGTTGTAAATACTTAATTTCCTTTCATTTGATTTGAAACCTGTTAAATTACATATTATTCAGCTGTCCAATAAAATGCAATTTTTAATTTAAAAATATGATGAAAAACATTTGATTATATTGATATAAATTTAGAAAAACTAGGTTTTACACATGGCTGTACCTAATAAAACATAATCCAAAATTTCATATTACAGATATTTTTATTTATTGGAACAACAAATTAGATTTTATTTATAAACAATCCACCAGAAATGATAGTTGCTATTTAAAATATGTAATTAGTATGAAGTCATGTGCTGGCCACATCAGATTCTTTAATATGTTGTTGAAGACAGATAATTGAGATTTTAGAAAATTTTCAGCTTATATTTTTAGTGTACTGAAAAATAAGAATAGATGAAAGAATGTATCTTGAGGTAATTTAAACATATTTTAAATAAAAGATGTATTTACATTAGGATGATTTTTATGCATGTGCATACAAGAAAAGAATTTGACAATGATTTTAATTATATGTTATATATTGATAATTTAAAATTCAATTAAAAAAATTCTGAAAGTTACAGTTAAATTTGCTCTATAACTTGAAAAGAATGCGTAATGTACTATAGAACACTAAATTTAGGCTCAAAAGTAGGTAAGTAGGTAACTTAATATTATTTTAACATAAATGGCAACCATCACACTGGCATTGAAGATTTATAAACATTCTTTGTATTTATCTCTGTTTATATACCTTTTATTGTGTTTATATTTAAAACTTGGCATGTCCAGTGATAAAATTTTGTGAAATTTATTACTGAAAATGTGAATACAGAATTTGAAATGTATGAACGAAGCTTAATTGCCAGTGTATTGAAATAAACTTGCTGGAAGCTGTGGTACTTGTGTACACATCTTTTTGCAAGAATTGAAATTAAATTCTGAAATGCTTTTGAACAATTAATTATTAATGTGCAGCAATCTTTTTTGGGGGGGGAGGGGGAATCTGATAATGTAAGAGACAAGTGTGTTATCTATCAAAAACTTTCACTTTGGGAAACTTTAATCTTTGAACTTTATTTTTGAATTGCACTTTTCAACAGAGAAGAAGTGGCAACAGTGTTATTATTAATATTCATTAAAATATTGATTTGATTGATTTTTCATTAAAATATTGATGAAGTATTTCATCAAAGTGTGTGTTGAAATCTTGCATTCTAGATATATCTGTTTCTAAATAATCTGTGTATTGTCTCTTTTTCAGGTTGTATTACATCAATAAAAAGTAAAGAAGACAAAATATATAGAGATCCTCAACCATATTTAATTGTTAACGGAGAAAATTTTGCAGTTTGTGGGTAAAAAGTCTTACATTTGTATATAATATTATTATTGTCCCCATCATAGATATAGTAAGAGTCTTATTATATGAGTTTTTAAAAACTGCAGAACTAATATTTAGTATTAAATAGATTCTTTTTTATCTAAAATTTATGGTGTGAATACGCTTAACACATGGAAGGGGATATTTTAAAATTTACTTTATAAAAGGCTCTAAATCTTGCATTTTGTAATAAAGGGTTTTGAGCCAAAATTTGAACATAGCAATTCTAAAAAGGAGTAATTAAATTAAAATCGATATTATTTTTATCAAGATTAGAGCTATCTATTTTAGATGACTAAATTACCACTACCTAATCTTTTGTTAAACACATAATATATGAGATTATCTTACATGATTACAAGAGTATAATTATTGTGCATGCTGTGCTGAAAGGTAACATCACTTTTAAACTGAATATCATCAGCTACATTTAGAATGTTGTTAATGATGAATAATGAATGATGTCAAATTACTTTACAAAAAGAAATTAAAATCATTGTTTATAGTTATAAAAAAATTAATCCATCATTTTTATTTTTAAAAAAGAAAATGTATTCATTTCAAAACAAAGAAAAGGTATTCTGTTTTAAAAATTACAAGATAGTCTCTTAAAAATGCAGTCATAAAATGTTCTTGCTTTTAAATATTTTCACTTTCAGTATAAAGAATTGTTCATTCTAATTTCATTTCAAGAGAATATTTTTTTTTTCTTTTTAATTTGCATCATGCAAATTGTATCAGTATTTCATATTGTGGATTTCATTGTAGATTTAAGCTTAATATATTTAAAATAAAATTTGAGTTCATTAGTAAAATGTAATTAAAGTAAACAGAAAATTATATAGATTGTCATTTGTTTGAAAATAATCATGTGTTCATAAATAAAACTCTAGTGAACCCTTGTATAGTGACTACATCTGAAAATGGCCAGTATTTTTGAGGACATGGTTAAACTTTGATTATGACTATGCTGTTATGTAGTGTGTTGTCACTTGTCATGACTTCCTGACCCAACTGAAACAATCAAGCATGTGTTAGGTGACCATCAAAATGTTTGATTCCTTGTTAACCTAAAATATTTTATGCACTATATCAGAGTTTCTTAAACTGTGGGTCGTGACCCCATTTAGGATCGCGGGACCTGCAGCAGGGGGGGTCACCAAAAATTTTAGCAGTTTGGGTACTTCTTTAACTTATTATAATAATTTTGCAATTACCAAATACTTTTACACAATGTTTCTGAAAATAGATAAAGGCAAGATAATACAGACAAAGAAAAAACAAAAACATTTTGACACATTCTGTTTATAATATAAACGTTCATTTTACTTGCTTTGCATGTGACGCTGCCATTTCATCTGTTATTTATTTAATATTTTCACATTGTCTTATGCCTTGAAATTCTAAATTAATGAGCTAAAACTGCAAAGTATATTACAGTACAAGTGAAAAAATTGACTGTTTCACTCATGCGTGTGTCGGATTTGCACGTGGTTATGGGGTCCGACAAAATTTTCATAAATATTATGGAGTCCTGGGGTTGCAAAAAAATCTTGGCGATAAAAAGGGGTCATGACTAAAAAAAAGCTTAAGAAGCCCTGCGCTAAGAAAATCAAGAAATTGGATTGCAATTCTCACTGTAGCAATAAAACTAATTTTATGGAAAACAGAAGTTAATTATGTTTAATAGTTAATTTTATGCTTCCTTATCATGGTGTAGTTTATCATATAGACATGAATGGGTAGTTTTGAAACAGTAAACTATTAAATGATTGATTACCTCCTGAGTTTTACATACAGCCGAACCGCAGTTCGGTGAACTTCAGGAGACCGAATGTTTAGTTTGCTGTATTCAATCTGAAAAGAAAAAAAGGGATCATCTCTCGAAAATAATAAAAAAAAAATGATTGATAAGTCACCCAGAAAGCATGATTAATATTGTTACCTCTTTCAAAAGAAATGAATGGTAGTTTTAAAAAATATATACAGAGGTTGTTTACACATTTTTACAATGATTTTGATGAAAAATTTGAGGAAAATGCAAATGTTCTGGAATAAAAATATCTGGCAACAGCTTATTATTTGAAATGAAAAATACCATCTGATACTTTTAAATTTATTCTTTTTTCAGAATGTCTCACGTAAACAAACTGTGATTTGAAAGCTATATTTTTGCATTTCCCCAAAGAGAAATATTTCTGTTACAAAATTCAAAAATGTGAAATGCATAGTATTAAAATTTCTAAGTACAAAATAAACTAATATTAACTGGAAAGGGGGAAAAGTATGTAGAAAAAATTACGAATGTTTCTAAAGTTAAATCGTTGTAACAAGAGAAAGTCTGCTGATGCAGAAATCAGTTTCAAGTATATCTGTAGAAATTTAAACATATCAGTAGCAACAATAAATAAAATAATAAAGAACCAAGATTTACAACTTAAAATGCTAAAAATCATAATGTTCATCAACTTTTGCTGAGGCATATGGTTTTATGGAGAACAATACAGAATTTGTGGAACCCTGGATGAAAGCTATTTAGCAGAAGATAAATGGAAATATATTGTGACCCTTGATGAAGTTTGGGTATACCAAAATCACTGAAAAAAAAAGGAAGGGCTACTTATTATAGAAAATGAAGAGAAGGAGATATACAAACCTGGTTCCGTCAATGCAGAGAAAGTTTCAGTGAGGCCTTAACCTTTGATTAAGATGTATTGATAAACTTAACGTTTTGAAAAACAAAGGGTATTAAATTTGGGAATATGCCTAAAAATTAATAGAAGATTCTCTGCAAACTAAAGAAAACAAAAATGCAAATTTAATAATGAGTATTTTTTAATCTTATTGGAACAAAATTTATGATGTAAGGTTTTAATAATTTTTGCAAGCTCTAAACTCCTTAAGTAAATTAAAACATTACATCATAAAATAAAGAAAGAGATAATTGATTTACTTTTATTGCATTTAAATTCTTTTAGGAAAAAATTCATCAGAACAGAAGATCGAGTAAACAAACTTTTTGGATGAATATATTGATAAGTAGTGGATATTTTAAAATTACTAATGCTTTGTACATAGCATCTGTTTTCATGTTTTAAAATACCATATTTACTTGCATATTTCTCCCCCCTCATGTGAATTCCCTCCTAGATTTTTGAGCATATGATTTAGTAGAAACTTTTGATTTATGGTAACAATATAAAATGTATACACAAAGTATTTGTATAAGTATATTTTTGAATTTGATAAGTGCTTTAAAATACATAATAAAATAATATTGATCTGTCTTTACATGTGTTTTGATATCCAATTTTATTAATTAAGCTGTCTGTTCAAGAATAGCAATACATTACTAATTTCCCCTTCCCAGTTTTCAAGCTTTAAAATTAGTAGAAAAAGGGGGGTATACGAGTAAATATGGTATAATATTTGTACCACTTATTTTAAAAAGTTAACTATATAATGAAATTTTCATGGTTTTGGAGGAAAGGGGGCGAGGCTTTATTTATCTTTTTAATTAATTTGTAAAAGGTTTGGTTCACTATACCGATCCAGTAAAAAAGATCTCACAAAAACATGTAAAATTGAATGATGAATAAATTTTTTTTAAAAAAAAAGAACCTCATTTATACGAGGGCTATCCAGAAAGTAGATTACGTTTTGGAATAAAAAAATAAACAAAGTATAGGAAACAAATTTTATTATATACAGATGAAAGCCACACTCAAATACTACTTTTCTACATAGTCACCATACAAATTAAGGCATTTATCGTAGCGATGTACGAGCTTGGAAATTCCTTCGTCGAAAAATTCGGCCGCCTGCGCCTTCAACCACTTCGTTACCTCTTCTTGCCTTCCATCTTGCACAAAAAACTTGTGGTAACCAAGCTTTTCGCTGATGATTTCGTGCAACAAACTTCGCGAAATTTGTGGAAAACTCAAAGAAAGTTCCGTTATTGTGAAATTTCGATTTTCACGGACTTTAGCATCGACTTTTTCGAGAAGTTCGGCGGTCACTATGCTGGGTCTCCCACTTCGATCTTCGTCGTGAACATTGGTTCGGCCATTTTGAAATCTTATGACCCACTGACGCACTCCACCTTCAGTGATAATGTTGTCCCCATACACTTCACGAAGCTGCCGATAGATTTCTATCGGTTTACAGTTTTTTGCAGTCAGAAACCTTATTACTGAGCGCACCTCGCAGCTCGCGGGATTTTCAATTAACGCAGACATTTCAAACCGTCACAGTATCTGAACGGAGCACAGCACGAACCTCTCACTAGCACGGCTAGATGCAGACTGAGCTGCGCAACGCTCTGACCCCAAGATGGCCGCGCTAGCCCCGCCCCTAGCGGACACAGACGGAAACGTAATCTACTTCCTGGATGGCCCTCGTATGTCTACCAAACAATTTCAGTATTTAATTTAATTTAAAATTTCATTATGATTTAATTGTAATTCTTATTATGTGCAGTTATGGAAAATTTCTATACAGAATGCAGAGAGTTTGGTCAAAGAGATTTTTTGCTCTTCTGGGAAATATAAAAGAAGAAGATAATTTCATCACCTGCATGTCATATTTAACGTCCAGTGAAAGCACAGTTATTTCTCCTAAGATATGTAAGGTTGAACTCAGAGATTCAGTAAGCTTTATAAAGAATAGTTTATATCTTGCAAAAGAATGCAAAACCCCTATTTGGAAGATAGAACTTGAGAAGCATTAACACTTTAAAATGGATAATAAAGAAAACTTTTCATTTTCTAAAAGGAGAATCAACTGTTAAACCACAAACACATAAAATTCACTATTTTTCTTTCCCTGAGTGGTGAATCTTTCAAAATTTCCATCAGAGTATTAGCCTTGAATAGAATTCTGTCTGGTAGCTCAATTGAAGAATCTGAATGGAATCTGAGAGCTCATTCATGTTTTTTAATTCAGTGGTACACCATATAGGGATCTAAGACATGCTTATTGTATCCTCCTTTTTCTAGAGTTAGGTTTAGGTATCACACCTGACTCGCATAATAATTGTTTAGAATACAGAGAAAAGTTGGGATGAAATAATATAGTTTTCCTTTATGGATGGAATGTGGAGGATTTTTAAGGTAGTGTTTTTTTCATTAAAATTTGTGAAGTTTTAGGGAAACTATGAAAAGTCCAAAAAATATAAGATACCCAAACAGTTCATTATATCTAATTTACATAGTTTGAGAGATTTGCTGTAACAGTATAAAATAACTTAAAGTGTATAGGAAACTGGAGGGGACCAAAATATTCATCAATTATAATAAGGCTTGACTATGTTAATAAATTGATATATCATCTTTCAGCTTTAGCATTTTTTAACATATTCCAAGAGTAACGTATACATACAAACATAACTCGTAAGAGTCTTAAATGAGATAAATCCATTACGCTAACTAGCCTAACACAGCCAGAAATAACCATCGACTTTGATAATTCTCACCACTGGTAATCATTTTCTGTCAATGGTGTCTAAGGTGGGGCAAAGAGGGACATCTGTCCTGGGACGCAGCATCCAGGGGTGCCAAATTGATGCTACAAAAGTTTAGAATGAAATATTTTCCATTCTTGGTACACAGAAGGGGGCACAAAATCTTCTGTTTTCCCTGCCACTGAAAACCTTAGCTACGGCTCCATTTTCTGTATGACAATCACTAGTACTGAAGATTTCAGTCAACTTGAGAGTATCTTAGAGAATATTCACTGTATTTTTTATTTTAAATTATATCTTTCAGCTTTCATAAATTACTTAGAAATAAGTGTTATTACAGATAAAAAGAATTGCATTACTAATCTTTATTTCATTCTGGTTTTTGTGCTGATCTAGAAATAATTGTACTATATGTCTTACAAAAATTCTTTTTATAGCACAGCATTGATGCTTTTAAAAATGGTAATTGAATATTGCCAGTGTGCAGAAGAATTACCAATGCTTGCTCAGGATCTTGCTAGTCGTCTTGTTGAGTTGTTAAAGGTATGAAAATGCTTTTATATTAACCTGAATTCAAAATCTATTTATGGCTACTGTACTCTTTCATTTACCTAGAATGGTTACATAAAATCAATATACTACAGCCACTTAAAAATAAATTAATTGCATTATAGAATGCATAAATTTTATTTATGGTTCTATGAATATTTATGTTTCATAGAGAGATAATGTTCATTTCTACTGTAAAAAATGGTACCAGATTCAGTTACAGCTAATTTTGCTGTGTGTTTAAAAGTTTTCTGTTCACCTAGCAAAACATTTTCCAATAATATCCATGCTTTTATAAATGAAGCTGTCGATTAAAAACCCTAAGACGATTGATGGTTTTAGTATAATAATAAGATTTTAGTCACTTTATTGCTCTCACCTTTAGAATTAAGTAACTAAAAATTAAATGTAAATGGAAAATGTAAATTAGTTCTGTAGAATATTATTAAAATGGTCATTATGTATTATTTTCATCTACTGTGATTCCTTATTTAATAAAAAGCTGGGGCGAGAAATTAAAAATGCTAATAATTGAAGTGGTAAAGGAGCTGAATTAATCCTTATACCTTTTGCAGACTAAATAATTATTTTTATTTATGTCATAATTCCAGTTTACATAATTAAGCTCTACATCTTTGGTGATATAGTGTTTTGCATAAGAGTAAAAATGTTTATTGAAAGCATTTTGCTCAAATGACTTATGTTTTACTTATTTATTTTTGTTTTAGGCATTTAATTCAAGAACATGTCAGCTGGTGTTAGGGGCTGGAGCCTTACAAGTAGTAGGCCTAAAAACTATAACTACAAAGCATTTAGGTATGTCATAAACATTAAGCATTCAAAATTATGTAACTTCATAATAAATCATATAAAATGGTTTATATATGTGTTTGTGCGTAGATGCCCATACACACGTACATAAGTAGATAAATTTTAAACTATGGTTTATTGTTAATATTTGGTGTTTTATGGTGTAAGTATCAGAAAGTAAATGTTAGAGTGAAAATAATTTGATGTTTCTTAAGTGCTTGCAATTCCTTGTTGTAATCAGTTATTTTATAACATTCAGGAGATACGCAAACAGTGAAAAAGTATTAGGCATCTGCATCAGTGCATTTGTGAATATGGCAACCTGCTCTAAAAATCTGAGCAGCAATATGTCAGTGTGAAGCAGGTACATAGAAGTCCTGCACAATAAATAAAATCTTTTTTTCTGCTTTTCTTTTTTAAAATTTACTTATCTTAAATGATGCATATGGAGATAAATGCATTGTCATACATCTCTCATGTTCTCATATGGGCTTGATTATATTAAGGTCTGGTGCTTGAGGGTGCAAATGTGTTTATTTTGTTTCATCCACTTTCTCATCTAATTAATTTCAAATCTGCTTTCGGCATACAAATATCAACATTATTCATCTGGCACCATCTGAAAATGTTGTCTACATTGTTAAATAAGTATGTATTTAGAGATGACCATGTGTATGCTTCAAATCTCATATGAAGCGCAAGAATAACTGAAGGTCTTAAAACATTAAATGTGGTACAGTCAAAAGTCGTTAATTCAGACACCCATAATCCGGACCTCAAAGCTAAAAACTTTCTGCGCATGCGCCGCGTTGGCACATGCGCACGGGCGTTTTACGCGTGCACGTAAGACCTTGACTACTGCGCATATGCGTGTGCGCAAGTGCAGAATACGTTTTCGCCTGCGCGTTTAATGTATAACGGATGGTGTAAGCTAAAATTATCTAATTATCTATTTCACTTAATGTTAATGATTGCATTGTTCCTTAATCTTCGAATTGGATCCCGCTTATTATTTTTTGCAGACTGTAAGAGCAATTTTATAAAAGTAAACTTGAACTTTCGATTATGTCAAATAGAATTCCGATGCCGGAATTTCCAAAGGATCTACAAAACGAAAGTATGTTTCGATGTCTAACAAACAAAAAGTGGAATTGCTGCAAAAAATGGATAAAGACATGAAGAATGTGACACAGAGGTTAGTGAAAATGAAAAAATTTCGATTGACAAGTTAGTCGGTATTCTCAGCACAGCAATTAACGGGACTTGAACAGCGGAACTTTGTAACTGAACAAGAAATTATGTCTGTTTATAGAATTAAAGAGAAAGTATTATCACATAAAATGAAGCAACTTAAACAACTTACATTGAAAGAAATGTTTAATAAAGTAAACAAATAAATATTAAGCTTTTTTTTTTTTTTTTTTTTAAATTTTGATACCCTTTAGATCATAATTGGTCTTTATTTCATAAATTACGGTTTCATATTTTTAATTTTAGAATTTCTGCATGCCATCTTACGAGATTTAAACTGATGATCTATAATCCATAAAAATCAATAATCCGGAATCGCCGAAGTCCCGACGGGTCCGGATTAACGACTTTTGACTGTATACCATTTAATGATTATAAATAATACCATTTAATGATATTAAAATAAATGTGGTATACCATTTAATAACCATATTCATTTATGAAGTGACATATTTCATTTTCAGTATAAAGGCCCACATCAGCATAATATTATATCCTTTACAGTTAAATTATATGTATTTTTTCACATGATCCAACATAGATGCAACAAACCAGCATTATAAACAATGTAAAAAATAAAGCGATTCATTTTCATAAAACAAGTATTCCATTTCATTTAAAATTAACTTTTTTCATAAATTAAAGAAATATAAGCTAAATAAATAAAGAATGTTTAGTGATTTATTTTTTGTGCCTGTCGAATGTAAAAGTACCTGTATCTTTTGTGAGATTAGCAGATTCATATTTATGTCAACCCCCATATTTTAACTTATAAAAAGGTTAAAAAAATTCTTAGTTTATACACGGAAATACATGGTTATTATAAATATGTCAGTGTAATTTATATCATCTTGAAGACTTATATGCATTCCTCTCCTGTAGTTCTTTCGTAATAGGTCTTTTTGTCTGCATCATGTGTATTTTGAGTAGCATATGGTAAAAAATCTGTCATTAAAATAACTGATTAAGTCTTATTTAAAGATTTCTGTAAACTTATAGTACTTGTAAAATCATGCATGAATGCACTAGTAATGAAAAATCAGAAAATACCTCCCAATGTGTAATAGTTATTATTATTACAATTATAATTATAATACAGTCAAAAGTCGTTAATCCGGACTCGTCGGGACTTCGGCGATTCTGGATTATCGATTTTTCCGGATTATAGATCATCAGTTTAAATCGCGTAAGATGGCATGCAGAAATTCTAAAATTAAAAATATGAAACCGTAATTTATGAAATAAAGAACAATTATGATCTAAAGGGTATCAAAATTTACAAAAAAAAGCTTAATATTTATTTGTTTACTTTATTAAACATTTCTTTCAATGTAAGTTGTTTAAGTTGCTTCGTTTTATGTGATAATACTTTCTCTTTAATTCTATAAACAGACATAATTTTATGTTCAGTTACAAAGTTCCGCTGTTCAAGTCCTGTTAATTGCTGTGCCGAGAATACCGACTAACTTGTCAATCGAAATTTTTTCGTTTTCACTAACCTCTCTATCACATTCTTCATGCCTTTATCTATTTTTTGCAGCAATTCCACTTTTTGTTTGATGGACATCGAAACATACTTTCGTTTTGTACGATCCTTTGGGAGCTCCAGATTCGGAAATTCTATTTGACATAATCGAAAGTTCAAGTTTACTTTTATAGTATTGCTCTTACAGTCTGCAAAAAATAATAAGCGGATCCAATTCGAAAATTAAGGAACAACGCAATCATCAACATTAACTGAAATAGACAATTAGACAATTGTAGCTTATACCGTTCGTTATACATAAAATGAGCACGCGAAAGCGTATTCTGCGCTTGCGCACACGCAAATGCGCAGTCGTAAGAGGTCTTACGCGCATGTGTCAACGCGGTGCATGCGCAGAAAGTTTTTAGCTTTGAGGTCCGGATTATGGGTGTCCGAATTAACGACTTTTGACTGTATAATCTTACTTAACTATAGATGGTTAAATAAAATGATTAATCTCAGAGTTATGCTTGAGACTTTAAAAAAAATACTAAATCAAAATACAAAAAATAAATAAATAAATAAATAAATAAAATAAAAAATAAATTATATTATTAGTATACTAAAAAGTACTATTAATACAGTTTTATTTTATAGCACAAATCTTAATTTAATGGAATATAACCATTATAATTCAACTTTTAGAAAGCAAATCTCTGAAAATGTGCAGGATAATGACTAGGAAACTTTGCAGTGAGTAAGATTAAATATTCATTTTTATTTCAATTGGCATTTTTGGCCACAATTCACTTGGCACTCTAATTGTGCCTATTTCCAGACTATTTTTATTTTTGATACTGTTGTGATAGGAAGAGAGCAGAATGAAATAGCATTCAAGCAGCACAGGGGTAAAAGCGAAAAGTGTGTTCCAATTAAGGGTCAAGCCCTTAATTCCCATTCTATTCTAAAAATCATAATAACTTCACTGGACAGGCATCTTTTCTAGATCAGTCTATGGCATATGGCTTGCGTAATGCTGATGATGCAATTCGGAACCTAAACTCAAAATTTTAAGAACTGAAACTTTACTAACCAAGCTGGTGGTGAGCTTCCATATTGGATAATTGCGTACTTTTCACTTTTACCTCTGTGCTGCATGGACATTATTTTAGTCTGCTTTCTTTTTATCAAGACAATATCAAAAATAGAAATAAACATGATTAGAGTGCCAAGTGAATGTGGCCACAAATGTCAATTGAACTAAAAATGGATATTTCATCTTACTCAGCTGCCAAGTTTCCTAGTCATTACAGATTCAACATTTAAAGCATTTTATGCAATCACAATTCTTCTTCTTCAATATGGATCTGTGTTATATCCTATCTACATGCTGTGCCACCAATATTTCTACATTTCAGTGCTCCTACATCAGTACTTCTAAATTTATTTTTATTACATATACTATTTTAATATTGAATGTTAATTTTCTTAACAGCTTTAACTTCCCGGTGTTTGCACCTGATATTATATTTCATTCCTTATGTTAAAAACCATTTTCAAAGTAAAATACCAGGGAAGCAACAAATTCTGGATAAGAATTTTGACCAGGTTACTAAAGTAAGTTTTAATCTTTTCTCTTATAAAGTTATTTTTAATCACTTGCTTATCCTCTGCATATCTAAGCCATGTACATAAAATTTATAGTATTTTACTTTAAGAGAGCCATGTATATAAAATTTATGAAATTTCATGATTGCAGTGAAAAAGTTTTGTATTTGAACAGTTCAATAAAAGTCATTCAATTTATTCCTTAATTCTTATTATGTAATTATAATCAGTACTAACAAATTTTACAAGGTCATGTAAAAAAATTGTTATAATGAAATGCACGGCTTAAAATAATTAAATATATGATTTCCTTGTTCAAGTTGTAGCATATAGAGTTCATGTTAAATAGTTTACTTGGCTGTGTATCAAATTAATATCCATGGAAGCTTATATAGATATGCCTTAATGGTTGTTAATACAGTTATCAGAAAACTGCCTGTCATGTTAAATTTAACATAATGTTTCAAAAATTGACCTAGAAATTTCAATAAAAAGTTACTTTGAGTAGAACCCAACAAAATTTTGGTGGCCCCAGTACATAGGAAATGAAAATTGTTAGATGCTTTATGACCACCAGAAGCATTATTTATGCAAGCAGTAAATGTAAATGATAAACTGCATGCAAGAATTAAATGTGTTATTTTGTTAAATCTGTAACATTTTTCTACTTTTTGTTTTTATCACATCACATGTTATTTGTGCTTGTTGATCTTCTTTCATGGTGGCCATTTAAAAGTATCACTGTATTTTACCAAATTGATTATAACTTAAATTAATAAATAAAATAAAAGAATTTGTATTTTATGTGCCATCTTCATCCAAGAAAATAAATATGTTTGTATCTAAGTTACTTAATCTCTTATTTTTTACAGATATATACTGAACATATACGTGAAATTAGTCATAAGCTTGAATCAATTATTTCTGATATGTTTGAAGCTCAGTTGAAAAAGGTAATTTTCCATTTACATTCTTTATATTGCAACACAATCAAAAAACATCATGAAAGTAATTTTTAGGTACCTTTTATAAACTTTTGTCATAATCTGTTAATTTATCATTACAAACTAATTGTAATTAATTACTAGTTATTCAGTTTATATAAATTTAATCAGTTTATACAGATTATACAAATCTTTTGTTTGTTACATAATAGACATATCATTATCGAATTTTAAGATGTAACTCCAGAGCAAAACCATGAAATATGTCGCACAGTTGAAATAGTTTTGAATAATGCTAGAATACCGGTTTACATGTCTTCGTTATATTCAGCAAAAAAGTGCTCCAGCTTACAGATTAAATTCTTTACAAACTGAAGTTTGTAAGTGCAGAGAAGTGTGTGTGTTTTAGTGTTGGAGAAAATTTATCCAATCAATTTGATTCTCTACTCACAATGTTGCAAAGCACAGTATCAATGGCAATGCTTCAAATTATCATGAGATTACTGCCTTTAGACTTGGTTTTAGAAAAGGAAGTTACAGTTGAAAATATTATCAGCCATAACAGAACATGTGATATCTGGGGCCAGACATGTACATTCTAACTATAAAAACTGAAATGTTCGTATAAATTGTCACCCTGCGCACCGAGACCTGAAGCAGAATGTGAGTATAGATCCTTCACTGTACACTGAGGTATTGGAAGCCATCTATGTGGACAATCTAAGACAGAAAATAGTACTAGCCGTGGATTTTGCCATTTCAGCATAACATTCAGTACAAGTGAACACGAAGGCTCAGAGTCACCAGTTCCATTTTTTAAGCGGAACTAATTGCCCTGCAAGCTGTGACCGCTACATGATGGAATGCGCTAAATGCCATGATTCTTAGTGATTCAGTGTCTATCCTCCACTCCATATTGGGAATATGGAGCAGAAGCCCATTGGTATATGCCATTTGCCACCTAATGCTGCTAATCACTACTTCCAACCGTTCTGTTCTATGTTGGGTTCCAGCCCACAAGAGTATCACCAGAAGTGAACTGATTGACGATCTGCCAAAGCAGACAGTAAACAATGTGGAAGGTGAAATGATTTCAACTCTCCTCCCAAAATCATATCTTAAGCAGACCACTCAGCACATGCTCAAAAAGTAGTGAGAGAGATGGGTCACAAAGCATTCCTTTTCTTTCTAAAGATGGCCATAGAGTTATGTAGCAACTCCACTTCACTAACACTATACTTCTTTGGACATGGTCCACTCCCAGCATAACTGCAGCACTTCTCACACAGTGACACATATCTCTGTATATGCAGTAGGATAGAAATAGCTGACCGCTATGTATTTGAATGCCCACGTACTTCAAGATACTACCTTAAAAAGCCAGCTTCGGCAAACTGGTAAGTGTAGGTGGCTAATAGTAACAGATCTGTACAAAATAAAATTGGCTGTGTCATTACATATTGCATCCCTGCCTACTTAGCCATATGCAGCCTGCCCCAAACATGTCCAATAATGTAAGCATCCTACAACAGTCGGAGTACAATGACACACTCTCCCCACTCTATATTCAATGCTGTTATCCTTATTCAATTTTGTACATAGTTCTGTTTTGATATGTATATTTTCAGTTTGTGTATCAGCTGGTTTGAGATATTATGTACTCCTCCATTAGCTTATGTACTAGGTGCAATTCAACTTTATTTATATAATGCTATTACAGTTTTGTCTTTCCCTTATTGCTCATAGTGATGCATGTGCTCAAACCATCTGTAAATCAAAGTGTCTTGTCACCATTAGCATCTTTCCAAGCTGTATTTGAACAGTTTCAACAGAACTCATCTCACTGTTATAACCCTAGTTTCTTCCAGTGGGTTGGCTTCTAAACTCTGTATAGGCTAATGCCTCAGTCAAAGGCCAACTTAAGCGGTGTCTAGTGTATGATTTACCACATAGGTTAATTAAAAATAAGGTATTGAATTTATGTGGTACATTTGAATTCTTATTGTGTTTACATATTATTCATGGGTGGTATTTATATTATTGCAAGTAAAATAAATTGAATTATTTATGTTGTCTCTTTATACCCATAAAAAATTTTATATACATATATATAGCTGTAATTATCTGTATTTTCTTATATACTGTAGTGGGAAGTTAAAGCACCTGTTCCTTCACCATCCTTCAGTGCAATTTCCAAACAACTGAATAAAGTTCATGAATTGGTTCATAATGTGTTATCTCCTGAAGAACTAAATAACATATTTCTCAGAGTAAATAATTCCTTCAAGAACAAGTTACGAGATCATCTTCTTAGGCTACAAGTTAACAATGATGGTGGTCCACAACATGGGTAAAATATTCTTATTTTCCAAATATCATAATTTTTTAAAGTATGTGTAAGTTTTAAGCATTTAAATCAGGGTTGCCACGCTACCTGAAAAACCGGAAAAAGTCAGGGAATTCGAAAATTGACCAAAAAATTCAGGGAATTTAAATATTTTAGTCAAAATCTGGAAAAGTCGGGGAATTTCATACACCGATCCCCCCCCCAAAAAAAAGCGAGTTTTGCACCGATGTTGGAAGCGATCACTTTCTTGCCGAATTGTGTATCACAGCGTCATTCAGGCAGCTGGCATAGAGCCAATTTTTGCAGGTCCAATTAGATTTAGATTGTCTTTTAAAAAGGCAAAGCAAGTTTCCAGCAACTTTGGTTTGCAGTAACCTCGAGAATCGCATGCGCAGTGCATGTTGAACTAAACAAAATACTTATTCTCGTATAAATATAAATCGATTAATACGGTACCGTGAAAGTTAGAATCAAAGAATATGTATTGGAAATTAAGAAGGAAAACCTCTCTGCAAAGGGAGTAGTTCCGTTCCAACATAGAGGGAAATAGCTGTCGCCAAAGCTCGAAGCCGGTGTCGAAATTCGAAGGTCACGTTATCAAGAGTTCGTAAAATGAATTTCGTTTAAAATTTCTTTTAAACCTTAAAGCAAAAGAAAATATTTTTTCATGCATTTTTTTAATTAATTTTTTCGTAAATTAATTAATGAATTAGTTATTTTGAGGGGAAAAAACTACAAAAATCCGTGTTTGAAATGTGGCCTCAAAGAGTGTTTCTTCTTCAGTATACCCCACCCGGAATTTTAAACAAAATATATCACCAAGAGCAGTGATAAATGATATGATGTGGTAACTCAAGTATTTGTCAAACGCAATGTAAACAAGAGGATGGAATTACTGTTACAGCTAATACAGTAGTCAGTTACATTTATTCAATTTCAATACAAATTACCGAGATATCCGTTTACTCAAAGTTTAATGCACATGCCCTGTATTCTTTTCTGGCATAGATTTCTCTTAAAATTTGTCTCACGCTGCATTGCAGGGGGAAATACAAAATTTTTTATTAGAATTCTACTAAAATTAATATCTAAATACACATTTCGTAGCACTATTATCGGCGATTGTTTAATGCTCAGATACAGTGGATACTATTTTGGATATATTTTTTTGGCTACTTTGGAGGTGATATTTTTGCGTTTAATTATTGCTTGCTCTAAACCTGTTAGTGATGTTGTAATTAAGTATCAGGCGATTTTAAAGGAAAATTTCAGGTGGGAGTTTTCAAATAAGCATAAAAGTTTTGGAAAGCCAGGCATTCCAAACAGATATTTTGTGTATGAATTAACAAGAGAATATGAACTTTTTAGAGGATTTTTGATGGATTGTGGATTAATGAAGGATAACGTTTGTTGTGAAAAATGTAAGATACCATGTGGGTTAGTAAGTCAGAAAAAGTCATCGAATGGTAGTATTTGAAGATGCAAGAAGTGTAGGGCTGAGAAATCAATTAGGCTAGGATCTTGATTCACCTGTAGCTAGCTAAAATTTTCTGGAAACATTTTTTTTTTTTACAACTGGAATCAATGGAGGTGGTTATGCTCGAGTTTCTGCATTTCTTCAATTTCTTTTAAGTGAAAGCAGATTTCTTATTATGTGAGCAACGCAGAGTTTATTCAGTGTCTGATTTTTTAAGTGAAAAAAGATTGCTATATACATGAGCAAGAGATTATTTAGAGGATTTTTGATGGATTGTCGATTATTGAAGGATAACGTTTGTTGTGAAAAATGTAGTCAGAAAAAGTCATCGAATGGGAGTATTTGGAGATGCAAGAAGTGTAGGGCTGAGACATCAATTAGGCTAGGAGCTTGGTTCGCCTGTAGTAAGCTCAATTTTTCTGGAAAAATTTTTTTTTACAACTCGAATCAGTGAACTCGAATCAGTGGAGGTGGTTATGCTCGAGTTTCTGCAATTCTCTGATTTCTTTTAAGTGAAAGCAGATTTCTTATTATATGAGCAACGCAGAGTTTATTCAATGTATGATTTTTTAAGTGAAAAGAGATCGCTATATACATGGGCAAAGCATAGTACACAATGGCGAGTTTGTGCAATTCTCTCATGTTTTTTTTTTTCAGTGAAAATAGGTGAATGTGTACATGGGGCACACTACATAGGTAGTAGCGCACTACATAGGTAGTACATAGGTATGTAGTGTGCCATGAAGCCAATGTAGTGCGCAATGTCGAGTTTGTGCAATTCTCTGATTTTTTTTTTAAGTAAAAATAGATTGCTGTGTACATGGGCGCACTACATAGGCATGCGCAATAGTGTAGTGGGCAATGCCGAGTTTGTGCAATTTTCTGATTTTTAAGTGAAAATAGATCGATGTGTGCAAAGCTAATCTAGTGCGCACTGCTGAGGTTGTGCACGGTGCCGGTGTGCAATTCTCTGATTTTTTAAAGCGAAAAGGCAAAGCCAATGTAGTGCGCAATGCCGAGGTTTTGCATGGTGCCGAGTTTGTGCAATTCTCTGATTTTTTTAAGTGAAAATAGATTGCTGTGAACATGCGCAGAGCAAATGTAGTGCACAATGCTGAGCTTGTGCAATTATCTGACCTTTTTAAGTGAAAATAGATAACTGTGTACATAGGCAAAGCGAATGTAGTACGCAATGTCGAGGTTGTGCACGATGCTGAATTTGTGCAATTCTCTCTTGTTTTTTTAAATGAAAATAGATCGATGTGTACATAGGCAAAGCCAATTTAGTGCGAAATGCCGAGGTTGTGCGCAGTGCCGAATTTGTGCAATTCTCTTACTTTTTTTAAGTGAACATAGATTGCTGTGTACATGGGCAGAGCCAATGTAGTACGGCAATGCCGAGTTTGTGCAATTCTCTGATTTTTTTTTAAGTGAAAATAGATCGATGTGTACGTGAGCAAAGCCAATGTAGTGCGCAGTGCCGAGTTTGTGCAGTTCTGTGATCTTTTTAAAGTGAAAATAGATCAATGTGTACATGGACACCGAGATTGTGCAAATCTTTTGATGTTTTTCGAGTGAATATGGATTGTTGTGTACAAGGGAAAACGAGATAGTGTGTGATGCAGAGCTGTAATGTAACATATTTTATGTGCAATGTTTAACATATCGTTTGTGTATTTTTAATTTGTATTTTTTTAATTGTGAATTATATTTAAAACATCATTTTTCATTTAAATTGTATTTTTAATTGTTTGGTTTTGATATGTTTATAATGCTTTCCGATTTACGATATATATCGATAGTCCGACGATCTTCTTAACAGTAGCAAAACTGTAAACTTTGACCCTATAAGTAACTTTTACCTCATTATTTTAGGACGTAGTGTTTGCTATCATAATTGCACTTGATAATATGAGTTCTTTGATAATATATGTATGTATGTAAAGCATTGCTTAGTGTTCCAAATTTGTAGTACAGTCAAAAGTCGTTAATCCGGATTCGTCGGGACTTCGGCGATTCCGGATTATAGATCATCAGTTTTCTCGTAAGATGGCATGCAGAAATTCTAAAATTAAAAGTATGAAACCGTAATTTATGAAATAAAGAACAATTATGATCTAAAGGGTATCAAAATTTGCAAAAAGAAAAAGCTTAATATTTATTTGTTTACTTTATTAAACATTTTTTTCAATGTAAGTTGTTTAAGTTTTGCTTCGTTTCATGTGATAATACTTTCTCTTTAATTCTATTAAACAGACATAATTTCTTGTTCAGTTACAAAGTTCCGCTGTTCAAGTCCTATAATTGCTGTGTCGAGAATACTGACTAATTTGTCAATCGAAATTTTTTCGTTTTTAATAACCTCTGTCACTTTCTTCGCTATCTGAAGTGAATTAGAATGACGAGGAACTTGTTTTAAATCATATCAAAGATGGAGCACATCGAGATGAAATACTACATTTGATAAGGAATTATAAGCCAAATAAAATAAAAACATCTGCCCTGAAGATAAGGATAGTGCTGACAGATCAACTTCCAATTCATTACGCGCACGCGGTGGCGTTCCCCCCGCCGAGCAGCGTGAAATTGATAAACAGATTTCAGATTTCAAAACATACTTTCGCTTTAGATCCTTTGCATATTAACAAATATATATCGGAAATTCTATTTGATATAATCGAAAGTTTAAACTTACTTTTATAAAATTGCTTTTACAGTCTGCAAAAAATAATAAGCCGGATCCAATTCGAAAATTAAGGAACAACGCAATCATCAACATTAACTGAAATAGATAATTATTTAGCTTATACGTCCATTATACATAAAACGCGCATGCGAAAACGTATTCTGCACTTGCGCACACTCATATGCGCAGTCGTAAAAGGTCTTACACGTATGCGTAAACGCCTATGCGCATGTGTCAACGCGGCACATGCACAGAAAGTTTTTAGTTTTGAGGTCCGAATTAACGACTTTTGACTGTATTTATTTTCTTTCATTGTGAGAAATTAGTTTCTTTATTTATTAATGTGTAGAATTCTAGTATGCCTGCCTACAGAGAATATGGAAAATAATAAAAATTGTCTAGTTACTGGTATGAAAGGGATTATGTCGTTAACTAGGAAAATGTTAATTTGTAAATATGATAAAATTGAGATAAAAGTATAGTTTAGGGTACCCCTTGGCGAAACTTGGCGATTTTCGGAGGCACATGGATACCGATTTTGTGCAGTTCTTTGACTCATTATTTTGGCTTGTGAAGCGGCAATTTTTGCGCCAAAAATCGTCGCTACACAAAGCCAAAATAACAAGACAAACAATTGCACAAACTCGGTATCCATGTACATATCGACTTATTTTCACTTAAAAAAAAAAACCCCGAATTGCACAAAAATGGCATTGCGCACTCCTTTGACTTTATCCATGTACAGTTGACCTATTTTCAATTTTTAAAAAAATTCCTGAATTGCACAAAAATGGCATTGCGCACTCTTTTAACTTTATCCATGTACACATCGACCTATCACTTAAAAAAAAAATCATAGAATTGCACAAACTTGCATTACGCACTCCCTTTACTTTGTCCATGTACACATCGATATATTTTCACTTAAAAAGTCAAAGGAGCACCAAATTCTACAATACAGGCAAACAAAAAATACATAATCTCAATAAAATACATTTTAAACCAAACAATAAAATAACATAAAAAAGGAAAAACATGTTATGCATTTAAGCACTACCAAAAGCAAATATTCACTTACTATGATTTTTGAGTTCGCTTCGTACACCCAAAACCACGTAAAAATCAAAATATCAATCATACTCAAATGACTTTTTTCAAACCAGGTACTCTTTCTGATCGAACGCTTCACATAGTGACCATCTGAACCTTTTTTTCTACAAACCCATTCAAATCCATCTAAACGGACTCTTTCTGATCGAACGCTTCACATAGTGACCATATGTCCAATTAATGAGATATTGGTTATGTCTTAATTAAATACAAAAGAGACATTTATGTTTAAAATTTTTTGGAATGGTTGTAAAGTTGATAGTAAATATTATTCTCTCAATTTAAAATAATTAATTTCCAAAATGAGCAATTTTTCTCTAAATCTGATTAGAATTGCTTAATTGATAGGCACTAAGAAGTTATATATGTCAGTAAATTTGTTTGTTCATATAAATTTGAAGTGCACATGAAACTATGCAATTTGTGTATTTAATGTAAAGCATAATGAACATTTTGAGCTACAGGAACCATATAAAAAATGACGATTTTGTAAATGCGTGATGTTCAAAATGAAATGGCATGCAACTTGCCCTCAAAGACCATTCATGATATCGAATTGGAAGAGAAATATGTAATACAGTCAAAAGTCGTTAATTCGGACACCCAAAAATCCGGAATGATCTATAATCCGGACCTCAAAGCTACAAACTTTCTTCACATGCGTCACGTTGACGCATGCGCATAGGCGTTTAGGCATGCGCGTAAGACCTTTACAGCTGCGAATATGCGTGTGTGCATGTGCAAAATACGAATGCATGTTTAATGTATAACGGACGGTATAAGCTAAGCTAAAATTATCTAATTTAGTTAATGTTGCAGATTGCGTTGTTCCTTAATCTTCGAATTGGATCCAGCTTATTATTTTTTGCAGACTGTTAGAGCAATTTTATAAAAGTAAGCTTGAACTTTCGATTATGTCAAATAGAATTTCTGATATATATTTACTGATATGTAAAGGATCTACAAAGCGAAAGTATGTTTCGGAATCCATTAAACAAAAAGAGGAATTGCTGCAAAAAATGGATAAAGGCATATCCTTTGTTTATCTAAACTTTAACGTTTGTTTATTTAAACTTTGTTTATCTTTAACCCCACGGCGCGGCGCGCGCAATGAATTGGAAGTTGATCTGTCAGCACTATCCTTATCTTCAGGGCAGATGTTTTTATTTTATTTGGCTTATAATTCCTTACTAAATGTAGTATTTCATCTCGATGTACTCTGATATGATTTAAATCAAATTCCTCCTCATTATAATTTGCTTCCGATAGTGAAGAAAGTGACACAGAGGTTATTGAAAATGAAAAAAATTCGATTGACAAAATTATGTCTGTTTATAGAATTAAAGAGAAAGTATTATCACATAAAATGAAGCAGCTTAAACAACTTACATAGAAAGAAATGTTTAATAAAGTAAACAAATAAATATTAAGCTTTTTTTTTTTGTAAATTTTGATACCCTTTAGACCATAATTGTTCTTTATTTCATAAATTACAGTTTCATATTTTTAACTTCATTATTTCTGCATGCCATCTTACCAGATTTAAACTGATGATCTATAATCCGGAATCGCCGAAGTCCCGACGAGTCCGGATTAACGACTTTTGACTGTATAAACTCTTTGCCAAGCCCCCCCCCCCCCCGAAAAAGAGAGTTGCTCTTTTTTTGCCTACTTTTAAACCTAATTGCATATTCAGAACTGCAATTTTTTTGTTATTACTCTTTTTCAATTAGTAATTATTTTTTTCAGGTTGGTTACCCAGGAACTTACATTCTATACTCAGAATTTGAAGAAGCTTCAAGTACCATGTGATTTTAATATGAATGACTTATGGCAGTCTAGGTAGTGAACTATGAAATTATTTATTAAAGAATTTATATTGCTATTTCCACAGTTGATTGTAAATTCAAAGAATATATTTTTCAACTAATCCATTTGAAAATAAATAATTTTGTGAAGTGTGTGATTTCTAATGCATAAGCCTTGATGGAACACATGCTCAATGTAAATTTCAAGTTGAAAAATTACTCAGATTTTTGCTATTGCAAATTATATTTTCATAAAGTTGTGTGGTATGCTCTTTTGCAGTTATAACATAAAGTTCATGAAAAATATTTAAAATGTAAAGAAAATTGCTGACAATTAAACATTATTTGATTATAGAGAGACACTGTTATATAAAAGTAAAAATAGACATCTGAAGGTAAACATAAGTGATAGTGAAGTTGCCTCACACAGTAGTTCCTTAATATATGATTTTACTTCCCAGTTATCTGACATATTTTGGAAATGTTTAATAATAAAATGGCATGATACTTAAAGTCCGAAATCTATACATCCATTAACCGGAATGATCTAAAATCCGGATCTCAAAACCACCAAAACCGTTTTTCTCGTAGCCTTGACATGTGCATTTGATTCCCCCCTCCACGAATAATAAAACATCTGGAGAGTCCCGATTCTTAATTCCATTTCGACAGTAACTAAAATACGTTGCATACTTGCCAACCTATGACACTCAAAAATCAGGAGATTTTTTTAAGAAATCAGGAGATTTTTCACAACGTTAAAAAGACTTTTTAAATGATAAAAATATAGTTTTTAATAATAAATTAACTTTAAATAGTTACTAAGTCTTAAGTTACTAAGTCTTAAATGCAAGCAAAACAAAAATACCTTAGACATAAAAAACATTTTTATTACTTTCATCGTTTAAAAAAAAAAAAAAAAAAAAAAAAAAAAAAGGCACTTTAATCAGTTTTCATACAAATGTTATGGACAGTGGCAGATTTTGCTCTCGTTAAGAAAGAAACTTCATAATTTTGGTTTGGTCCTTGCACTTGAGTATTTCTTAGCGATTCCACTATCGGGAAACATTTTTCTAAATAAAGCTGCAGCGTGATCCGTTGCATTCAGTGGCAGGTTGTGCTCCAGTAAAAAGGCAGAGAACAGACATTCTGCATTAATCACTTTTTGGTCTTTTGCTTCTGAAGAAAAATTTAATTTTTCGTTTTTTCAGAACAACTCATGTTGTCCTTGTGTTTTTGTGTACGCACATGTTTGAGAACATCTGCCCTTCCACCAAGCGAAATCGAAAAATCGCAACGACAGATGGTACACCTCGCAAATTTATTACATTTCTTTGAAGAAATAATGGAAGGAAAGTCAACTGTGTACGATTTTTGAAACGTGCACGAGTATTTCACCTTTCTTGCAGACATATCAAAAGACGATAATTTCTAAAACTATTTCCTAAAGGCACGTGTACTCACACAACTCAGGACAAGATGAACGAAATATCAAAAGAACATCCAAAGAACGGCCAACGGCCTTGAGCTTGCTTTGTGCTCATTGGCTAATATATGCCAGATGACACGCAGTGGAGCTCGATGCCCATTGGACAACTGGAGAACGAAGTTTCTGGATATGTTTGCTGTCGATCACAAAGCAGAAATTCTCATCCGATTCGCAAGGTTTCATTTTAGATATAATCTAGAGAAAATTCAGTTGCTTTCAGACGTCCAAAATCACTTTTTTTTTTTTTTGTTTTGTTCATATAACGAAGTATTACACCAAGTTCCATAAAAATCGTGAGAAATATTAAGAATAAGAAAAAGTCGGGAGAAATATATTGTAAATCGGGTTGGCGGGAGAGCGGTCGAAAATCGGGAGTCTCCCGCCTAAATCGGGAGAGTTGGCAACTCTGACGTTGTTATTAAAGAAACAATCATTTTAGCATAAATTTCTACAATCAGTTATTTAGCTCTGTTGTTGCGTATCTATCTGCGTTGGCATACATCTCAAACCGAAACATTCTACATAGATACTCATTGATCTGATGCCAACCTGGGGAATCATTATTTATTATACTTTCCTTTCAACACCGCATGTTTATCAAAACATGACTACTTGAGTAATGACTCATGTAGTAATGCCTAAACAATTTTATATTAATAATAAAGGAGTATGGTAACCTTTTCTGTTGACATTACGCTTGGCGACGATTACAGATTTAAATTAAGTGCGTTAAAAATTTTGAGGAGAAAAACTTTAACAATTTTTTTTTCATATGCTAAAAACAGATTTCTTAAAAAATATTAATAGGCCAAAAGACTAAATTTATTGCTATTTGAATTAAGAATAACTGATTTATTACTCACATAAGCCCAGAAACAGCGCCAGGGCTCGCATGGCCGCAATGCGCGGCAGAATTTAGGACCGACAGAGTCAGTATCAGGCGATAAGATATCTAGCCCCGACTTACAATAAGTATATGTGGGAATTTATTTATTCAGAACTCTGATAAGCCTTAAGTATGTGCAAAAAATAGACATAAGAATAATAAATAACTAATACAATTCTTTAATTGTCTCAATGCACGATAGAAGAAAGATAAAATTTCACGGAACAACTTGTCATTAGTCACGAAGCTCATGATGCATAGCCAAATAATCATGCCCATATGATGCATAGCCAAATAATATGAATAATAGTGAAGGATAGTTAAATTTGATGATACTAGCCGCTAATTTTAAAGGTGTTTGGATATCGCAAAACAAAGGTGAAATTTTCCAATTAACGGATTTTGTAAAGAAACGTGGAGAAGCGGTAATATATGAAGATAATATAAAAGAAGTTTTTCATTGTGATGACAATGCTTCTCAATCATCAATCAATTAATGAATGGCGAAATCTGTAGTATGATTTTAGATCCAGAAAATACCGCTACCATTAGTGAAGAAAGTGACAAAGAAGTTACTGAAAATGAGAAAATTCTGATTGACAAGTTAGTCAGAATTCTAGAAATAGCAGTTACAGGACTTCAGCAATGTACGAGTAACTAAACAAGAGATTATGTCTGTCTACAGAATTAAAGAGAAAGTATTAGCACAAAAAACGAAACAACTTACATTGAAAGAAATGTTTAATAAGGTAAACAAATAAATATTAAGCTTTTTTTTTGGTAAATTTTGATACCCTTTAGATCATAAATACTTTATTATTTCATAAATCACAATTTCATATTTTAATTTCTACATGTCATCTTTCTAGATTTAAACTGATGATTTAATATCTGGAATCGCTGAAGTCCGGATGTCGTACTTTGTACTGTATAATTTTTATACAGAGAATTGTAGGCTTTTTTTTTAAAGCCCAAAGTAGTGTTAGCCCAGAAGGACTATTAGTCTTGAAATGGAATTTTGCATTGAATGTTTTTCCAAAATTTTTCCATCAAATATTATTGCCCTGTATTATATTGAAAGAAATTAAATAATGAAGAATCTGCATGAATGAACGAATTTTTTTCACATTTTGAAAAAACGATCGTACCTAAAGCCATCAAATTTTGAATTCATAATCCTCCACCTGAATATGGACACCAGGAAGCCAGAATTTTGAATTTATTTTATTACCTATTTCATACTTTGTAAAACTGTAACAAATTTTTGATTAACAAACTCAACAATTTCAAAGTGAGGAATGGCAATACTGTATGGAAAAGGCATTTTTCTCTCCAGCACACGATACTGTCTATCGGAAATTCTAAAGATATTTTTTTTTAATATTTGTGATATTGCTGCTGAATTGAATTTTATCTGGTTTAAGTACGAAGAACATATTTAATGAATAAAGGTAATACACAAAACGTTAAAAAAAGGCCCCTTTGGGCATGATTATAAAATCTGAGAACTTTCAGATTATTTTTTGAATTAATATTTTACTAGATTATATAAAAATAAAATTATATATTAATTTCAATATGCAATAATAGTTTTCCTTTATTATGTCAGTTTGTAATAAAATGTTTCTTGCTGGCAAGTCTATGGTTAATAAATCATCTTTGGTAATTCCTTATTATGTGATTTTCCTACTTACCTGACCACCATGTCATTTCATTTATATTGGATAACTGGAACTCTACTTTCAAAATAAAAAATAGACATATTTATTTTATTGAACAATAACAGATCTGAACTATCAAATGATTGAAAGAAAAGCCAAGATAACTCAAACCCACATTCTTATACCTTGGATTACATATATATGTATTTTTTTTTTTTCCCCCTTTAAACTCATTACTTTGATAGTCTTACAAAATGCTTGTTTCTTTTAGTGGCTGCTGTTTTTTATGCTCTCCCATATATCTAGAAATAAGTAATCTTGTTATTATTTAGTATTCTTTATTTATCCTTCATTTTTTAACTGCAGCCTCATATTATTCTAGTTCCTCATCTGATCATAGTCATAGACACTATTATCAGTAGAACAATCTTCGTGATAAAGCCAGCTTTTTTGACACAATTGCGAAGTTTTTCTGGTGATATCATAATTCCATACTTTTGCAAGTTGAGATAAGAAGTCATGTAAACTTATTACACAAAGAGGCTCATTACTTTCAGTTCTTGTTACGGCCTTAAAAATGCTTTTGCGATAATGCTTCTTAACACATTTTATCACCCTGTGATACACTGCAGTTTTGTAGTGTTATTAGGAGGAAAGGAAAAAAAAAAACCATAACATTTTTATATTTGTCTCTCGTATCTTGAACACAGCAGTTATCTATCGCTAGAGCAACTTTTTGTTTCTATACAACTATGTATTTATCTAATTTTTTAGCCACTTTTCAAAGATGTCTGAGATCAGCCACAAGTTCTTGTTGAAATTGTAATCTACTACCGTTAATGCATCATGAATTATTACTCTTTTCTGTAAGTTAAGGTTTCAGTTTTTCATCTATTTTTGTACATAGAAACTTTGCTCTGCTTACCTCCAAAACATCTCTCTTTTTTGAAGATTAATATTTTCTGTACTAAATATTGATAAAATTAGCTGGTTTTGTTACCATCAAAGATAACTTTGGCTTGTACATTTCTGTCATTTCTTCTAGTTTTCACTCTTTCCGTATGACACAGTTATTTTCATTATCTTTCATCACATATGATTTCTGAAGCTACTCCATGTCTT